TTCTTTTATTTTTTTAAAGTAATATAAAGGCTTTTAATGAAAGCTTTTAAAGTTGAAAATACCGCAAAAGATTCTCTCATTTCTTTTATATGATCAATCATCTACAAACATAGACATATATGTATGTATAATGTCTCTGACTAGCTTAGCCTTAGCTTACTTACTAGTATTCTCTCGATTTTGATTGCTTTTATTTATTAGCTTAGCCCACATACCATAGTCTTCAAGAAGACAAAACATCATTCCGCACTTCACGCATCCAAAAACATATTAGTGGAATTTATTGCTTGGCTGAAACCTCAGCGCATTAGTCAGCTTATAATACGTATATAAATATATGCAAATCTTGTGCGGTTTCAGGCCAGAAACTTTCTAAACCGCATTCACAAAGTTTTCCAGCCACAAAACACGTGCTGTGCTCAAATTTACAGAAGTGATAAAATTGCTAAACGCTTCAAGCTAAAATTGGCTGGTAAAAATGACGGCGACATCGTCATTCTCTATTTTTTTATTTTTTGAATTATAAACAAGTTTTGATAAATTTATTTAGTCATTATGGGTGCGGTTTTTCTCATTTGGTTGATGTTTGAGTTCGTGCGGTGATTACTTGCTTTTTATTGTATTAGAAATAAATTGTTAATCTGATTTTCTTTGTCATTTTGCTGTTTCCTTGCAGGCTGCCCCATTCAACTGTAATTGGCCTTAAATCGGCAAAACATGGCCAAAACGACGGCAGCCAATTCGCATTGGCTGGCCGCATTGCTGTCGCTGCTGCTGGTAATTCGCACAGCCACAGCGGATGAGGCGTTTTCGTGCCCAAATGGTAAGTTCGCATTCAACTTGAATTTCCAATTTCAGCTGCACTTCAGCCACTGCCAAGAGGCACGTGCGTGGCCGCTGCAGGTGTGGCCAAAAACGAAATAAAATTGCGCATAAATCAAAGCGTAAATAAATGTAATTACATACATACTGATGTATGTACATCGGTATATAAATTATATATGGGCATGCAAAAGTATTTGTTGTTTTGTATATAGGCAAAACGGATGTTGGATTACCTTCTTGGCAATAGGTCGGGCAACTTGTTTTTTATTTCCGTCGATTTAATTGCTGTGCATTTGGCTACACTTAAGATGTTTGCCAAACTGTAATTAAGTTCAGCTGATATATTGATTTTTCAGCTAACTTCTAATTTTGTATTTAATTGCATGCGTATTAAAACGATTTCAGAGACAACGTTTATTAAAGTCAAAAATTTCCAACTCAGCTTAAGGAAAAATAAATATTTTAAATATTATATTTTTTGTCAGATAATTAAAAAAAATGTATGATTGTTTATGAAAATTTATAAATTTTAAAACTGAAATTCCGATCAATAATAACTAAAAATTTATTAAAGAAGGGCAATTATATCTTAGCTTTGATTTCCGGTTTTTTTATTATTTATCTGAATTACAATTACCGAAATTTCATATTTATCATAGTCAATTTAACCCACCTTATATAGCATTCAGTTGCATACAAAAATATTAAAACCTTCAAAGCAGCTCCTAACTTTTATTGCTCCATCATCGCTCATGAATTAATCCACAAAAATAGCCCAATGAAAATCTCTTCATTTTTTTACTCAAATCTCAATTCAAATTTTTTCTTACAATTATCTTCATTAATCTGAATTTCATGCTGTTTATCAGCCAATTAATTCTATTGGAAATTAATGAAAGACCAATAATGGTATACAGTTTTCTTTAGAAAGAAAACTGCCCATCATTCATTGTTTACAATCGAGATAAGCCGTGCATAGCTCAGCTAATAACCATTTGTTAGAAACCCGAAGCTCTACTGCTAAGCTCTGTTAGGCCTCAGGAGTGGAAAAATCTTAAACATGATTCTTTGTAGGCCTGTTTTGGCTATCATTAGGCCACCAGCTGCTAAGCTCCTTTTGTACATATAGCGCACACTTTGGCCATTAAAATGCGGTCTTATCGTTAATGACAAATCTATACAAAAGCTGCCAACTCGCCAAACGGGTTAAGATCTGCTACATTTCGGCCAGAACAAATGAAATAAAAAAAAATAATAATAATAATAATACAAAAAATTTGGACTAGAAGTCGAAATGACGGAAATGCTGTACCGGCTAATCAATCACTCTACGGCCAGTGAGGCAGTCAACACTTGGCGCTGAAGCCTTTCACTCGATGGCCACCTACAACTGGCAGCCGTAGCGATAACGGTTATTACATATGCCAAACTGGTTGCTGTTGCTGTTGCAGTTGCAGTTGCAGTTGCTGTCCCACTGGGCGATAATGCCAAGAATGCCCGCCATGTGGCTATGACAGCACACAGAACTCTGACAAAGCTTATTTATATACACACACTCGCACACATATATGTATGTGGAAATCTCTGTATATACTCGCAACAAAGTATGAGTACGCGTACATCGACAAGACCAACCATGGTACCGCATAAGTGAGGCGAGACAAGTTTCTAGCATAAGAAAAAAAAGTAGAAAAAACTAAAACTAAAAAAAAAAGTTAACGCGCTTCGAAACAAGATTTCTTAACGGTTGTTTAATGCCAACCCAAGTTTGCCTGACTGACTGACTAACTTGGCGATCGGCCTGCCTACTCCTCCTCCTCCTTCTCCTCCTTCTCCTCGTTCTTCAGTTTCCCATTCCCAGTCGCAGTCGCAGTCCCAGTCTACCTAGCATGCCACTGAGTTTAGCTGCTGTTGTTGTTGTTGTTGGAATAGCTGTAGCTGCCTCGTATTAACTAGCTGCAGTTGCTGTGCTTATTAACACTTTTATATGCACACACACACACTCATTCACGCACACACAGCCAAACACCTGCCAACGGCGCAGCCAACTGCAGTGCGGCCAAAACAAGTTCGTTGCCTAAGTCTTTTGATATTTTAATGTTACGTTGCTTGTGTTTGTTGATGCATATGCAAGGTGTAAGCTGGTATGCGTGTATTTGTGTATGTGTGAGTGTGTGTATGAGTTGTTATAGGTGCAGTTGTGCAAAAAATAGGCCAAACTGTTGGCGGTTAATGCAGTTGCTTGTGCTGTTGTTGTTGTTTTTGTAGTTGTTGCTGCCACTGCTGTTATTCAGCTCAAGCATTATTTTTATTGATGACTTACGACTGAAGCGTAATATAAGCAATGGGCGTTTAACTGATTAAATAAGGTGTAGATTTCAACTGCGGACTAGAGAGAAGAGAGTGCCGCACAGCAAATTTTTGTTATACCCTTACATATATATAGATCATCATCATAATTTGAACATTTTCTAATTTTCTTGCAAACTTTCATTCCATTTAATCACGAGCAAAATCTTATAGACTTCTTACAGTGAATCATTAAGCTCTCTTCTAATTACTATGCGTATCGCTTTCTTTGATGTTGCGTTATAAATTAAACATAAGTTCACTTAAACATAAAATAAGCTTAAGGTAGATATAGAATTTGTAGTCTCTGTAATTCTAGTCAAAGCCACGCCAATGTTTGCCTTCATTACTCGTCAGTCAAGCATCACGTCTAACTGTAAAAGCCTCAAATTGATAAACAGACAGACAGTYGAGTAAAGCAAACAACTCGCAATCTTACCTAGAAACGAAACGAAACGCATAAGTAGGCAACAACAACGACAACAACAACCACAACTACTAATACAACAAAAAACTAGAATTAGAAAAAGAACAGCGCGACTTCCACAATTTTGTGGACACGCTCGAGCAAATGCCAAAAGCAGCATCAGCTCCGAAAAAAAAAGAAACACTAATTAAATTAAGTTCATTTCGTGTGCTGCTGCCAGTGTAAATGCAGCATTTTGGGTCAGCACGCACAGAGTCCACCGAGAGCAAAGCAAGTGATATATGAGACACACTGTGATAAGCGCCGGCGACGGTCTTTTAACACATATGACTGAATGAATGGGCCAGTTGGTTTTGGGGTGATATTATTTATGATTTTCAAATTTCAGCATTTAGCTAATCACGAAGCGTAAAATGCTCGTGTGCTTAAGCAAATGTGTGCGGTGGCTTATGGAAGTCAACAATTTTCTAGTTGACTGACTTCTGTGTGAACTGTGCGAGAGGTGGGCAATGCCTTGGCAGCCAAACCAGCGAGAATGGCCGCAAGAAGGAGAGCATGTTAAAGATGAGCATTACCCAGGCACACAAATGTGCGAAAAGTTAAATGAACTTTGCGTTCGAGTCCAAGAGTTTAATGAACGTTTGGGCCACGGCCATTGACAGCTGGCCAAATCAAAGCTATTCGTATTGCCAGGTAATCCACGGCCAAGCAGCAATGCCGATAAAACAGCTAGAATTACACGATTTATTCGTGTAATACCGCTTTCTACGCTATGAACAGATCTCTGTGTTTCTTTTACTCTTTGATTATATGGTAGAGATAAAGAATCGCGCTGCTAAGCCAAGCAGACGAAACAAAATGCATAAAAAATGAGGCTAATGAAAGGGGCACAAGAAGATTTATTGCACTTGTGAAACTATATGCGTGCCCGCAACTTGATTTTCACTTTCTTCTTTCAGCCAAACGACTGAAAAAAGAACGGACGCAAATAAAAGAACATGAAAAACTATGCTGGTAATTAAATAGCCAAAGTGAATTTCCAAATTACCTAAATAGGACAAATGCTATGGATATTAAAAGTGACTTTATTCGGGGTCAACAGCAAAATTAAATTAAATGGGTTAAATGTAAGAGATTTGCGTATACTTTGATGCAGAGTATAAAGTCTGAGCAGTTAGTTTCACAATTTAAGTATTTCTAGAGCTTAGAGTGGAGCATTTTATATGCTTGAACTTTTGGGATTTCGAAATGATGATGGCATTTATGAGAATAAACTAAAATGTTAATGATAATTTCAAAAATATGAAAAATGAAAAATATGGTGGATATAGTAGAATATATGCTCAATCATCTATACTTGGATACTGACCTCATTCTAAGTACCCGAAGAAAGTCTGTAAAAATTCTCTCTACGAGTTCAGATTCTAGTAGATTATGTCTGAAATGAGAAAATCTCTAGAGCAAGAGCTCTAGCAAGAGTGAGAATTATATCAAACTGCAAACGAAATCAACCTCAAATCGCCATATTAATCTCTCAATCGCTTCAAAAGGTTTCTTAGAACCTTTTCAAAACTACTTAAACTACTTTAGCAAGGTCACTCGATGGGTTTCACAGCAAATACTTTAACCATAGCCAATTCAAGCAATTTTCTCACAGCCTAAGCATTTCAGAAACTGTTTCAAGTGCCGCAGCTGCTGCGCTTAAAAGTTTTTTTTGTGTGTTTTCGGCTAAAACACAAAGTTTGTAGTAAATAAACGAAAAACATAATATACAATTTCTTGTTTTAGACCTACACAAGGCTCAAGCATATGCAGCGCTCTCAGTTACCTAAACATATATAAATTATGATGCAAGAAATTCTCACATTATTAATTTGTATTGTGCTCGCTAGATTTCGTCAGAGTGCGCCTCGGAGTGTTGAGTATGAAATTATAGACAATGATCACAAGGCGCAGAGATGATTTTGGCTCGGAGCGCTTTGGCAATTAGAGCACGGCTAACAAATGCAGTTGCAAGCCCATAATGTATGTAGATGTACAATACATACGTGGGCACTAAAAGCCGCTTTTTATGTGGGGCATAAAAAGAACAACAATAATAACAACAACAACAACAGCAAGTCACGCAGCAAATTTGCATGGCTTACAAAACTTCCTGGCAAAGCATTTCAAGTATGTGGCACAATTCAATAAAGCAGTCAATAGCCAGCTAAATACAAGTTTAAAGTCCACACACACACACACACAAACGCACACATAGATATACTCGTATGACAAAGAAAATTAAAAGAACCAAGAAACTGGCTAACCTTGTCCAGCTACTTGCTGCACCCAGTCCAAGAGCAAAGGAATTTGCTTTTTTTAGAAGCCATTGCTAGTTACGTGGCTGAAGTGGCTTAAAGAGAAACTACAACAGCTTGACGGCCAGGGTGACACACACACACATATATACACACTCAGTGGGTGTAGAACGTGAGCGAGAGAGATGGAGATGGAGACAGGCAAATAGTTGGCCATTAAAAACAATTACATGAGGTTTGTTATGCTGGCCGTTTCTTAACATTTTTTTTTTTTTTTTGCCGTTCGACTGATTTCAATTGAAGCGTGCTAGGAACTCCAAAGAATCCCAATGTGCGCCTCACCGATTCTACTTTTTTTCTTCAATTTATTTATTCACTTTTTTTTTGGTTAAGTGGAACAGCGTACGGTTATGTTTGGGCTATTTGTTGGTATGGAGCAAAGCTAAAATTAAATAAAAATTGCTGCGGTAAATAGGCAACAAATAAATTGAAATTGTGGCAAATAGCGGTTTACAGTTAAGTTAACAAACAAACAAAAAAAAAAAAAAACGGGAAGAAGAAGCCGAGGAATTCGTTGTACAACTGGCCAAGAATTTAAAGCAATTTGTTGGCATGACATCAGAGATTACCAGAATTACTTCTGAATTATTGATGTGAAGTGCTGTAATTGCGAAATACAAATAATAATAGAAGTAAATGCATGGCAATGTAGGAGCTTGAGATGATTTAGCTGTCTAACAGCTGCTAGATTTTCAAACTTGACATAATTATGTCAGGTCAGTTGGCCAAATGTCTCGAAAAAAAAAAAAACAACAACAACAGCAAGAGACGGAGTCGTATGATGTGCAAATTTATGTGCTGTCAAAGCTCAGTCTGTCAGGTCTTAGATCAAGGCAGATTTTGGAGTAGATACAGTATGAGATAAATGATATTCGTTTATCATTAATGTAAGTTATCATAATGTATTATAATGATTAGAGATATTAGGGATAGCATTTAAGAAATTCTACACATTTAAGCTAGAGAATTTATCCTCTAGCTTACAACAATTGAATGATTTCAGTCAGCTTTCAGTTATGATTAACATTTAAAGTGAGATTTGTTATCTGAATTTAGTGTTTCTTCTACACGGAAATCGTGAAAGTATCTGACATGCTGAGCTTATGTTGAGGTGTAAGAAAAAAAAAAAAAAAAATTGTAACGAGTTTCAGCCGCCAAAAGGCACCAAAGCCTTTGCAAAGGCGATGTCGGCCTAAACGTTTGGCGATCATTTTTATCGACCATTTGCCCATGCAGTGGAAATTGTTGGAATATTTTTGCTTTTTTGTTTGTGTTGTATTTACCACAATTTTGAAACGTCGTATGAGCATTGAGCACTCGCATATTTTAGTCGATTTGATTTTAAATGAAAGCTGTCAATCAAGCCAGCTGAAGGCGGGCTCAACAAGTCAGCAAGTCACAGCAACTTTCCCATTTTACCAGGAAAACGCAGTGCACAATTTCGATTGAGGAAAATGAAAGCGCCACAAGCCAAAATAATTAATTTTTATTTTCTGCGAAAAAAAAAGATTGAAAAACTTAGCTACTTTGCTTCTAGACCAATGATATCAAAGCCCGACTGGGTAAATAACTCAATTAAATGCTTGTGTATCCAGAATAGATAATTAATTCTAAACAGCTATATCTCTTAATGGCATAGAAAGCCAGAGCCAATGCCGCTGAGATGTAGAAATTAAATTATGCAAAACAAGTCGCTTTGATTGGGGTCACGCTTAGAGATCTCGGCGGGAAGCCAACTGCAACTGAATTTAATGTCAAGAGCTGCTCGAGCAAAGAGCAGAAGAGGTTTTGCTGTAGAATTTTTCTTTCCATGAGAGAAACGAAGAGTTTTTGGTTATGGGAAGTAATTTCTCCTCTTATGAAGTATCTTGAGTTCCCTGCAAGTGTGAGGTTTTCCATTAGTCGACAAGCTGATAGGGAAATCGAATAAAGGAAAACCAAATTTATTCAAAATGGTTATTTTTTGTTAAAAGACTTTATAAGTATTTCATCATCCCTCATTTCGAGTTCTAATATTATACCAAAATTCGAAGGCATCTTTTTTACAATGTGTTAGTAAAATATATAAGTCTGTTGAAGGCCATTAGAAAGCGAAATTTTTATTGTCAACTCATAAAAGTTAATTAACCTGAGAATGTTTATAATTCGCATGCAATAAAAGCTAAAATTATTACACTAAAATAATTTTTATAATCTATTAAATTTAAATGAAAAAATTTAATTTAATAATTTCATAAATAAAATTTCTTTAGTTTTGTAAATAAAATTATATGAAAT